CTCCTATGATTCATTCCTAGAGACACAGAAGTTCAAAACCATAGGGAAAGAATTTGTGCTTCTTCTTTTCTTGTGGTTTTCAAACAAGTCTTTTCTTGTGGTTTTCATTGGTAACTGTTAGGTTTCTTTTTTCCTTCTGATAAGTCACAAGTTATCAGGATAGAAAAGTAGAGTCCTAACTTTAAATTCCTGCTTTTTCACATGTGTATTTTTAGATTTCTGCTAAACTTGGAACAAATGTTGAAAGTGTTCTTCAGGCAGTTATTGAAAGAATACCCCAGTAAGTATTTCTTTTATTTTACCATTCACCTACGCTTAATAGTTTAAAGACAGAACAGTGTAATATGTTATTTCAGCTTAATTTATATGGCAGATACTCTTGTCAGTGAGAAATTTAGTTCCTTTCAATAATACAAGTATATAAAAGGCAAATATAATACAGAAAACAAAAGAGCAAGGATGATAGGAATCTCTTCTTGATAATCATTTTAACAGTCTTTGCTGTGTACTGAACAAATATATTCATAAGGTAATTAAAAAATTTAAAACCAGTGGTTGAATTAAATCTAGTTTTCCATAGTTCATAAAAAAGGTCCTTTTATTTTGACTGTTACATATTAGCCTTTCTCAAGAAATAAAACGAAGTACGATATCTAAACTGAAAGTAGGCATTTTATTAAGATTTTAACTCAGTATGTATGTATTTGTTTTCACTTATGTTTACTAGCCCTAATGTACATCGCAAAAATCCCTTGAGAGCTTTGGTCTTTGACTCCACCTTTGATCAGTACAGAGGTGTGATAGCCAATGTAGCATTATTTGATGGAGTGGTTTCTAAAGGAGATAAAGTTGTGTCTGCACATACGAAAAAAACATATGAAGTTAATGAAGTAGGAATTTTGAATCCCAATGAGCAGTCAACTCAAAAATTGTAAGTCTGCATTAGTCATTAATTAAAGTACATTGATGCGTGTTTCTCTTTCTGTCTTTTTCTTCTATTGTTGTGCTTAGAATGATCCCAGTTTAGTAACTTAAAAGTTACTTAGTTACTTAATGCCGCTATACAGCAGATGCTCTGTCTTAAGGAATGTCATGGATGAAGGACAGGAGAAACTTCAGAGGATTTGAATTATAAGATATTTTTATTCTTCATGACTGGTCATAACTAATTTTGTGGTTCAGCGTATGTTGGGTCCTATGTTGATGTATTTGATGAGACTATGAATGATTTAGTTCCCTCCATCCGTATCAAGTATCATTTTTTACATTTAATTTCTTTATAACTAGGTTTTTCCAACGTAAAGGTAGTATAGAAACTTTGATTAATTCTTCAGTGTGGTATTAATGGGTAAACCTTGATTGAATTTCTTGGGGATTAGCAAGGTGCAAGGCATCGTATGCGTGAGCAAGACAGGTCTGCGGTTCACGTATAGAACCACGCATTGACTGCCTGCTGCTGCTGAGCTAATGAGATGTGACCTTGGCACAGAGATATAACCTTGGCACAGACCTGCTGTCTAAGGTCCTTCCTATCTCCTCATTTGTGAAAATTATAAGTATGGCGCCAATTACATAGACCACATTTGAGGGTTTAGTGTTCAGTGTTTAAAACTAGCATTATGTTTTTCATTACATTTTTGAGTCAGAAAGTATGCTTTTAATTTCACTGAAATATTTCAAGTCTGTTGATAGTCTGCCATACCTACCGGACATTTATTGCATCTTCATTTAAGGTTCTTGTACCTCGTCCCAACTGTAAATTGTTTTGAGATTTTTTTCTTTTAAATTAAGTTTAAATTCTGAAATTTTGGAATTAATTTGTTCTTATATAAAGGGAATATCAAATGTCAGGTTTATTGAGTTCACAATTTTATGTTTCGTTAAAAATGTACCTTTTTTTCCTTTGTTGAACAATTCCTTAATACAAGAGACATTACAAGTAGTGCACTGGGTTTCTGCCCCTAACAGTTCCACTGTGTTTACATACATTTTAGAAGCCATTTAATTTGCAAAGATGGGCAGAGTCATGAGTAAGGCCTTAGGCGTGTATGCAGGTGTACTTGGATAATGGGTCAGAAGGGATACTGTATTCTTTTGCTAACAAAGGCTTGGAGTTTGAGAACTGAAATGTAGCACTTGTTTTCAGTTTGAGGTTTATTTAGAAAGTGTGACAGTTTTCTGGAAAGGTGGAACTAATTGTGAGTATGCAACTGAAACATTAAAGCAGTAAATATTTGCATATAATAATTTTATTTAGATATGCAGGACAGGTGGGCTATCTGATTGCTGGGATGAAAGATGTCACTGAAGCACAAATAGGAGACACATTATATTTACATAAACAACCAGTGGAGCCCTTGCCTGGGTTTAAATCAGCGAAACCAATGGTATTTGCAGGTGAGGAGCTCACAAATTGAAAGCTCAAGGGCCAAAATATTTTTAAAGTAAAGTCTGTTTCTACTGTGAAAGAAAAATTACTAGAAGACAAGCGCATTCTGGTTATTTTAAATATCTCCTAACGCCGGGATACTATTCTGTTTTCATTTAATTGTTCTTTGTATATGCTATTTATGTATCAACTTGTAATTTCATATGTATGATGAAATCTTATGTGGGACATCATTTAGGACTCTTTAAGAAATAAGCTCTTAAGATTTTTCTAAGTTCTCATATATAGAAGAACACAGTAATATAATTTCCTTCTTGTTTTTCTTGGTAATTAGTTCATTATTATATTTGAAACATTTTTCTAATTAGGATGTTTTTATCACTATTAGTAGACATATACCGAGTTCCATCTTCTTAGCCTTTCTTTAGTATTGTACTAGTGTAGCGTTTCCTCAAGTACATTATCAGTTCCGAGCCTACTGCTGTGAGGGATTACGTTAGAAAAGGAAGACCTGACTCAAGGTCATCCTGTTACTCTGGGCTGGCTTCTCCTTCTGGTCTCTCTCTCTGGGAATTATGAATTTGTTCACCCCCACCTGTAGGCAGAGTCAGTCATTTGGATTTTGGAGGACTTAAAAGGTATGGGCTAACTAAATGGCAGATGAAAGAGAATTTGATGAATCTGTATTAATTCCCATATTTTGTTCAGTGAACTGAAAAAAATAAAATTCGTCTTTGGTTTTAATCAATAATCAGCCCTAGGGAATTGAGAGTTGAGTGTAGCTTTCATTTCCACTCCTATTTTTATCTACTAATAGAGTTTCATTTGTAGTTGTGGAATATCTTAGCCTTTTGTTTTGAAAATAAACAGTACATTTTCCTTATGGACCACAATTCTATGGTTCTTTATTGTTTTTCTTTCATATATATATATATACACACACACATACACACTTTTTTTTTTTTTTTGGCTGGGGCTGGGTTTGAACCTGCCACCTCTGGCATGTGGGGCCGGTGCCCTCCTCCTTTGAGCCACAGGCACCGCCCCCTATATTTTTTTGAAAGCATAGAAAAATTATTTGGAGACTCTAGTCGTATATATGATTTGCAAGATACTTTGAAGCCAATTTAACTTAATATTCATAGATTTTTAGTAAACCAATATTTTGGTCAAAATAGAGGAAAGTAATTGAAAGCTTAATGATTAATTTTTAACTTGGCAACACTACATGTTAAGTGGTCTGTACACACATGTGATAATCAGAAATCTTTGTGTCCTCAGGAATGTACCCCGTAGACCAGTCTGAATATAACAACCTGAAGAGTGCTATAGAAAAACTGACTTTAAATGACTCCAGCGTGACAGTTCATCGAGATAGTAGCCTTGCTCTGGGTGCAGGCTGGAGGTGAGACTCATTCACGTGATAAAGTCACATTTTTTTGTAGGAAAGTAAATTCTAAATGGTAATTTGCTCTTGAATATTTCAGAAGATAAGTTCTTATTAGTGTAAAATGAACTTAATATAGTTTGTCTATGTCACACTGAATCCACATTGTATGGTTAAGTTTTATAGTGATTTAAAATAGATTCCCACTGGAAGATTTGAATCTTATTTAATAAAATTTGTGATGTGAATCACTTGAATGATTTAATTCTACTCCCCTACAAAGTGGCAGTAATAGTCACTGTTAGTTTATCCCTGGTAGCCCATGAGATACGTTTCTGAGTTTGTCTTTTTCTTCCCTAAGGTTGGGCTTTCTTGGACTTTTGCACATGGAAGTTTTCAACCAGCGATTAGAGCAAGAATATAATGCATCTGTTATATTGACAACACCTACTGTTCCGTACAAAGCTGTCCTTTCATCAGCAAAACTCATAAAGGTACTGTTCTATTCCACTCTGCTTTGCACCAGCACAAAAGAAAACAAATAAATGTGTATATGCATAATGCTAGAGAGGTTTTTTAGTATATCAATAGCTGACTATTAAAGCCAATTAAATATTTATTTACTAGTAGTAATAAAAATTGAATAACCTTAAGGCTAGTGATGGAGAATTTTTTGAAAATTTATTTATATAGTATTTGTCTTAACCTGATAAAATCGCCATGTTATTAGAACTGATCTATCACTGATAATAAAAAATAGAATTCCTAACGAACATAACCCTTCTCAGTCCGGCACATGCCTTATAAAATGTGCAGCACTGAACCCTGTGGCCGTGGGAAATGTTAGATTTCATGTTGACAGAAACAGTCTTGTATTCCACCTCAGTGGAAATCTATTCCTTTTAAACAAATAATAACTTAGGCATCTGTAAATATTTTCCAACAGAATTAACCTAGTAAACTTAATTACAGTAGAACTTCCGTAGTTGACCACCACCCTACACTTGACCATCTCTTTAAGCTGAGCCAGTTTGCACAGGCCAGACATGCAGCACATGTACATAGCAGCGCAGCAGGCCTAGTTCCTCATGTTGCCCACTTCTCTGTGTTGACCAGTTTGTTACAGTCCTTTGGGTGGTCAGCTCACAAAGGTTCTACTCTCTAATGCCTTATGAGGGTCAGGTTAAAATGTCATCTTCTAAGTGGTCCATGAAATGTGTTTAGTAAGTGTCAATGACTGGAGTATTTGTTAAAATTGTTACTAATATTACATTAAACATTTCAACTGTAGTTCCTAAAAACATAAAGCATGAATTTCTTTTTAACTATTACCAATTTTTCTAATTTTTAGGAGTACAGGGAAAAAGAAATTACAATCATCAATCCTGCACAATTCCCTGATAAATCAAAAGTAACTGAGTATTTGGAGCCAGTTGTTCTGGGCACTATCATCACACCAGATGAATACACTGGAAAAATAATGATGCTCTGTGAGGTATAAGTGTAGAACAATAAGTTCTACAAAGTACATACAATTTCTTACAGCATTTTGAGTACTGGAAATTGAATATAGTTTGAAAGATAATATCACAATGCGTCACGGATTGTAGCCCCATTTTGCTTCATATCTTGGCACACTGTAGTAAATGGTTTAATCCGCAGATGTGATGTAATCATATTCCTAAGCATGCCTGTCTGAAATACTGTTGTGACACACAGTAGAAGGTGTGTCTTAATTCTGTTATCACAGACTCATAAACTAGATTAATTTTGTTTAGTCATCTAATTTCTCTGGATCAGATTTCTTTCTTTAAACAAATTAGGACTTTGCCTTTATGTGCAGTCACACTTGATTTGTTATTAAATGAAATACTGTGTATTAAAAGCAACTATTAAAAGTCGAGGATTAAAAGCTTCAGTAGCAAGCATAATGTAAGGGAATGAAAAATGGTTCTCCCTGTATACATTAGTGGTCACAAGGTTTCGCTAGATCACTAAGAAATACAAATACTGTATCTGTATTCCTCATTTTGCCCATTATTTACTATTAGGATTTATAACTTGGTAATTTATACTTGTCTATATTAGCTTAAATCAATATTTGAGTAGGTTATTATTAAATCTTTTTTTTTTCTTTTCCTTTTTAGGCTCGAAGAGCAATTCAAAAAAGCATGATGTTTATTGATCAAAATAGAGTTATGCTTAAATATCTCTTCCCTTTGAATGAAATTGTGGTAGATTTTTACGATTCTTTGAAGTCTCTATCTTCTGGATATGCTAGGTAAAGAATTAATGGGAACCTCTGATGCCAGGACAACTTTGAAATAATTGACCTGCCAGAGTATATTAATACTTCATTAATACTTCATACTTTAAGGTTAGAAAGGTGTGGATCAATCTTGTACGTGTAACAGAGTACTTATAATTTGCTTATAAGACAAATCACTCCTTCATCATTAAATTATTTTTATGAAAAAATATTAGTGCCCTCTTCATAAAATCAATTGTATGCTTTCTTTTTGTTGATTAATAATTAAGCATAATTTCAAAAAGCTATTATAACTTCAGTGGCACTTTTAAAAGTTATTTGTATGTTATGTGATTCTAGGCACCTCTATTTACATTTGAAAAATACAGGCATACATCATCAGTCTATAAAACACGCTAGGTATGCCCTTACATTTGTGAACTCTTTTAATAACTTGGTCTTTCCAAGAATAGGTGGTCCATGTCAAGAAAACCATTGTGTGTCACATAGGATTAGATAGAGAGCAGCCAAATAACAGAGTTAGCATTAAATAATAAGTAAGGAATTCAGTGCATGGCATTCTGGGAGTCTAAGTGCCCTTGGAATCCTCATGCCTTGAATCACAGTGTAGTATAAAGAAATGTGAAACATACTGGGAAGTACAGTGAGAAAATAAACACTGACTTCTGTAAAACATCCACACATAGTAAAATTAACATTGAAAGAAAAATTTCAGTGTTTTAATGAACGTGCTACAAACCTGGACATTTAATTAGCTTTTCAGTCAAGAGAGTCAGCATGTATGATAATGCTTCCACCAAGGAGGCTTTACGTTTCTGTTAAGAAAAATGTTTTTCTACTTTGTCACCCAGTTATTTTTTTCTATGTCTTCATTCAGACAAGACCTTGAGCAAATAAGTCACAATGGAACTTAGAGTAAAATGAATTGTGGTGGCAGATTAAAATTATTATAGTTAAAATGATATTACAAGGCTTAATATTTATAAATTTTTCAACAAAAGCCGATTTTAGTTTCCATTTAGATGCCACTTTTTGAGTTACATGTGGTCTTATCTTTCAGTTTATAAACTTAAATATATTTTCATATTAAATGAGAGAACATGGCTTATTTTACACTACATAAAAATAAAATATTCCAGCTTCTAAAATACAGGTAATTTTTACATTTAAGTTCGATGTTTTTCATATATAGTCAGTTCTACACTAAACAGAAAAAAGCTCCTCATGGTCCATGGCTAAGGGCATAAACCTCCCTCCCATGGATTAAGATTAAGAAAAATTTATTTTATACCAAGTGCCAAGAGTCTACTACAACTGGGTTAAAACAGGAATTCCTTTCTTATACAAGGATTGTAGTTTGCTTTCAATCGCTAACACCAGTAACTTTTTGGAGTTCCAAATGTGTTTACTGCATTCTAAGGGAACACTAGAATCCCTGTGTTTTGAATAGAGGTTAGGTTTTCATTGGGCTTGCGTGGAAACAAATGGTATTTGTATAATGGTGTCTGTTGCAAAACTAAGTTTAGAAATTCTAAGATTTTTGAGTACAGAACATACAAAATTTGGAGCTATAAAAATTTTAAAAGTAGGAACCATGTCTGTGTCTGGTTTCTACCTCACTGTATTCCGTATAATTCTTTCATACAGTAAACGTTTAGTAAGTGATGGGTGCTGAAGAAAGGAAGGATTTTAGCAACACTTCAAGTAGTCATCACTGTCAACTTAGGACTTTCCTGCTGAAAGTCTTTAGAAACCCAACATATTTATAATCCCAGGCACTGGTGATTTTAAAATTAAGCCAAAACAGGATGATACATGTTCCTGTCCAGGTCAGACTTGTCAACATAATGGAAACTTCCTTGTTAAGTCTTCAGTTTTGTAAATTAAACACTTATAAGCATGTCTGTTTTGATTAGTATTTTTAAGCTTTGACTATATTGTTAAAAGTAATAGCTGCAACCAAGGGTTCGTATTTGCCAAACTAGGCTCTGTTGTAAACCCAGGTGCTGGGCACTGCTCTAGGTGGCTGACACGTATCAAGTCATGTAATCCTCACAAGGCCCTGGAATGTTCAAGCTGAAAAGCCATATAGGCAATTCACGTCTCATCTATTCAGAATGGCTGTTTACCAGCGCCATAGCATGAATGTGTTTACACATAGGGAGTTGGAGACAAAACTAAATAGAAACTCAACTCACGAGTCTGAGAATGACCATTAATAGAAAGTACTGTCTAAAGCCTGCAGCTACTGGGAACACTGGGAAGGAGACGACATGTCTTTAAGATCCATTTTCTGTCTGGCTGACCAGTTTCTTTTCCTTCACCCTCTAGATACAGTCCCCTTGCTTTCCCCCTCATTTCATAAACAAAAAGAACAGGGCATTGAGATCCATTCTGATGACACTGTATACACACGTTATGGTGGACAGATAAACCTCTTTGGAGGTACATTAGAGGGGTTAGAGAAAAATGTAATCTGAGAAGTGTATGTTTATCACTGGGTTGTTTTCCTCATTAGTTTTGATTACGAAGACGCAGGCTACCAGACTGCAGAACTTGTGAAAATGGATATTCTCCTGAATGGAAATACTGTAGAGGAACTAGTCACTGTTGTACACAAGTAAGCTGCATAGAAACTAATCATGGAATGTGAAAATAATTACTTTTGATAGGTTTTTCCTTAGTTCTTAGTGCTCATTTTTATTAGAGCTGCTACATTTTAAAACCTTTTAAAGGTAATTAAGGTAGAGTCACTCTGCTAGGTTTGGCTGTTCTTTGTCCACACTTCCCTTTGTAGACTGCTAAAAATAGAAGAGGAAGTATAGAATTATCACGGCCAAAACAGTAGTGTCATAGAAATGGTTTTCTTACCAAACATACCCAAAACAAAGTGAATGTTTTTTTAAAATTTTACAATTATGAATTTAGAAGTAATAGTTTTTTTATAGTTGCAAAAATTATAAAAATGAAACACCCTACATGCTCCAGAAATGGCATATTGGTTCACATAAATTATGGACCACCCAGATTATTATTTTAAGTCCTTAAAACTCTTACGGAGTTATACTTAGTGATAGAAAAAATGTATATTAAGAAGGTAGACTATGTAATACACAGTATGATCTAATTAAAAAATATTATGCATGCAAAAATGACTAGAAGGATATATGTTTTAAATGTTAACGTGATTTTCAATGGGTGAGGAAAGAGAATCAAGAATGATTTTTATTCTCTAATGTTAAGTGTTTGTAAATTTTCTGTAATAAAGAATATTTTTTGAAATTAGAAGTCATTCATGATTCAGAGAATAAGAGGTAAGGTAAATATGTTCCATTTGAAATTCCTTAAGAAATTACCTTCATATTGATTACACATATGGACCCGAAAGGTTCTTTAAATATTCTTATTGGGTATAACCTCTTGTATTTTTTTCTGTCCCAGAGACAAAGCATACTCAGTTGGCAAAGTCGTATGTGAACGCCTAAAGGATTCTCTCCCTAGGCAGCTGTTTGAGATAGCGATTCAGGCTGCTATTGGAAGTAAAGTTATTGCAAGAGAAACGTGAGTTGAAATTCACTTTGTTCCTGAGCTGATTTCAGAAATAGTGTATCTAGAAAGTGAAAGAACACTGAAAATTATGACTCCACATTGGCCTCAGCTTCATGATTTGTAGCAGCAGTATGGCGGAGCCATCTGACTGTCATTTAAGTGATGATTGTTTGAATTTCTTACACATATATAACACCAGTGGGTAGTGTTACGCACAGTTGATAGAACATATATGGATTTGAAGAATTCCTTTTATTTCCACTCCTTTTAATGGGTTACTGCAGACATGGAAGATGGACTAATCTCTGAGGTAAGGAGCCTTCCGTGAGTGTGGTGTGTAAGTCAGAACACTGACTGAGCTGCACTAGGCCAGGAAGTCCCGTGCTGTGCTCCCCATTTCCTTTCCTTGCTCATCTTAAGACTTCTGAGAAATCAAAACTGTCTCCTCAGTTATAAAGAGCTAGTTGGAAATGGGTGTTAAATTCTACTGTAACCCAGACCTAATATATAAATAGTGGTGAAGTCCAACCATAATTTTTATATAGACCTGCCTGAGATAAATCTTCTGCGCATAATTTGCAATAAATTTCATTTCCTGACACTACTCTGATTCAGTTATTGCGTGTTTCACGACTACCTAGTGATTAGGCAGAGTAGAGTTGATAACCAGGGAACATTCTGGAAGGTCCAATTTAAAACAGCGAATAGTCATTCTAACATAAATGTGCTAAGGTGGGGAATACCTTAAAGAAAACAGTTTTTTTTTTCTTTTTTGTCTTAAGGAATACATAAAAATGGAGCTATTTTCAAAATTAGAGTGATCTGGAAATTTCTCAGAAACATTACAGAAATAGTTTACAATTGCTGGGATGAATATAATGAAGGTAGTTTACCTTGAGACGGGTTTTATAACAGCCTAAGTCTGGTAATAGATTTCTTAGCGTCCTTGCCACTCTCCCCACATTCAGTGGAGGCAGCAAGGAGACAGCTGTTTCTGACTGTTTTGTACTAAGTAGTGTTGGCAGGAAATGACACAATCACTACAATCCTTTTGTGAAAGGGAGATTTGGGGGGGAAATAAAGTGCTTTTAAACACTGTTATGAAAATATGTACTTAAAATTTCCTCTTTTACAGTGTGAAAGCCTACAGGAAAAATGTTTTGGCAAAATGTGTACGTATCTAAGTGTTATACTTAATCTACTTTGTATATGTAATATAACTTTTCTATGGGTTTAAAATCAAAGGGGATATTGACGCCACTGTACACCCTTTATTTCATCTCTCAGTTTCCTTTTTAGATAATTATAGGTTGACCATGAAAATTTGATCACTTTTAAATGTTTTTTAATCTTATAAAAGTTTTTTTTGGAGACAGAGTCTCACTATGTCACCCTTGGTAGAGTGCCGTGGCATGACAGCTCACAGCAACCTCAAACTCTTGGGCTTAAGCGATTCTCTTGCCTCAGCCTTCCAAGTAGCTGGGACTATCGGCGCCAGCCACAACGCCCAGCTATTTTTTTATTGCAGCTGTCATTGTTGTCTAGCTGGCCTGGGCCGGGTTCAAACTCACCAGCCTTGGTGTAGATGGCTGGTACCATAACCACTGTGCTACGGGCACGGAGCTTAAAAGTTTCTTATCTAAAACTATTTAAGGAAGGATTTCATAACAATTATTTCTATAATCTGGGCAACATGTTTGTTGATCTAATACTACATACATAATGAAAGATTTTAAAGACAATGGCTGTATCTTACAATGGGAAGAAGTAGGAATTGAAATATCTGTCTCCTACATGACCTTGCCAAAATTGGCTGTCGCAGCTGTTAAGAAATTTTTCTTAACTCAGGTATTGTGAAAATTGAATGATAAATTATTTTTCCAAAATGCTTAGAAATAGTTTTTTGGCATATATATGCTTATGTAATTTTTCTACATTAGACTATAGTTAATAATTCAAAATTCCAAGTCTGGACTTAGTAATGGGGTAGATAATTCTTCCTTGACACGCATACAGTAGTATTTAGCTTCCTTGGGGATCTTCATCGCTTTCCCCACAGAGTAAAGCCTTTCTCATTCTTTGAGATGGTAGTAAGGTTAGGGTCTGCTGGGAACAGTGAGAGGTACTTTGCAAATGTCTGCTTGATAGACTATACTTTGGCGGTTTGTTGATTGTATTGATGATTCTGTGTAATTGTATGATTATTTTTCCTTGGAGTGATTTAGACTTCCATTTTTTAATAACATTTTTCAGTATGGTGGTGATATTACTCGGAAAATGAAACTTCTGAAGAGACAAGCAGAAGGAAAAAAAAAACTGAGGAAAATCGGCAACATTGAAGTTCCAAAAGAAGCTTTTATAAAAGTTCTGAAAACACAATCTGATAAATAATTGTTGGGAAAATATAAAGAATTTTTATAAATTAAAAACCGTATCTTTTTCTCATAGCCTTTTATGGTATGTTGATAATAGAATACAAATTATAAAATTTGCTTGTTACTTTCAGGGTTTTGGGGCTTAAACAACCTCTACTGGCTTTTCTTTGAATGGGATTAGTAAATGGATGGGGAAGAGCTGCTTAAATTCTGAAGCCATAATGCCTGGTTTCAAGTTTCTGTTCCAACTACGCATTAGTAAAGTGACCTTGGCCAAAGTGTGTAATTAACCCTTTGTTTCCTCTTTGGTAAAACTGAGGTTATACTACTACTACTACCACCACTATAGATTGCTGTGAAGATTACATGAAAATAACATATATTAAAATTTTCAGAAGCATGCATAATACTAGTAAGCATTCAGTTTAATTATAACTACAGTTAAATCCTCACTTAATGGCATCAACAGGTTCTTGAAAACTGCAATTTGAAGTGGAATGTAGCAGGTCCTGGAGTTACATGGTTTCTTTCAAAGTAGTTATATTACAATGCTGAGAAAAATTGATTTCCTTATATGTACTTTGAAAGTTACAGTTTCCTAAAACCTGTCATCAATAATGTTAAGTACTGAACTATATTTTGTTTGGGGCATACTTTTTTTTTTACTGACATTAAAGAGCCCCATGCTGAAGATACTGTCTAGTTTTAAGTTAAAGGATTTTCAAAATCACCTAAGTGGTGAATTTGTTAGCTGGGTCATTTATCTGATATTTGTGAATCATTTATTAAAAAGTAAACTCTAACATACTATGTAGACCTCTACTTTTGTTTTGCTAAAAGTTTATATAATTTTTCAGGTGTCTGTTTGAAAATTGATGATTTACACGGTACATTTAAGGACAAAAGCTATCTTATTTCTGGTATCATTTTTATAAAATGACAGATATGTGGTATTAGCAGTAGCTGTTATTGACAGTTTAAGAATTATTGCCTAAATTTCATAGTTGAAGAGACTGCAATTTAGAATATTTCAGTAATGTACTTGAGATCTCATCATCAGTAAACGCCTTTATTATTTCAAAGGTCTGGTCCAGACAGTGAATAAACCAGTGCGCAGACTGTACTACAGCAGAGTAATTTGGCCACTGATGTTTGTCTTCTACCTTGAATGAAGTGAAGGAGGAAGATGTCTAGAGATAAACATCATCAATGATGAAATTTATATTAAGGTTACAAGATAATATGGGGACTTACTTATTAGCCTTTTTAATCCAGGACAGATTTTATCATTCCTTAACATGCAACTCTTCAGGAAATATGTTTTACATGGAAAATGCTTTTCTGTACTATCATCACTACAAATTATTTAGCATAAGCTTCATTTCTCTCCCTGGTTACTTTCCCAAGCACATGATTTTAGTGATTTGGAGTTACGTGCTTTTTTAAGCATATTCTTCATCTATCCTACCATTACTAAGATTTGCTAGCCTCCTAGTTTAAGGGCAGTAAAATGGAAAGATATTTTAGACCTTCCAAGCACAGAAATCATTAGTGAACCAAAACCATATGATCTTCTCGGGGCGTTAGGATGGTTTGTAGCAAACAAGGCTTCTCATCAGAAGTTAAGAGTGGAAAATGCTACTGATTCACAAGTTACTTAAAAACAATTTATAAGGCTATTAAGATGTCATCATCTAGAATTAAAATAAAGCAGCATATTTTACCCTATTTCACTCTAAGACCCTATTACCAGTTTTAACGTTATTTCATTTTAAATTTGTTTGCCAACTGATTAAGTATTTGAAAAAACTAACTGCATGTTAATCACATAGACAAGCAGATACGTGAGTGAGGCAGCTTCCTCAAGATGGGTATAAAATGCAGAATAAGCACAGGAAAGGACGGGTCTTTACTTTTCATGGTACAAGACAGAGAAACTACAGGTAGGGACAGTCCTCTAACTCCAATCTCCTAACTGAGTAATGGCAACAAACCAAAAGTGAATGCAAGTTCACAGGTTCTGTGATTGATGGAATCAATTTCACTTCTAGAAATAAAATTTAATAATCTATTTGTTTATTAAAAACTTTATTTGAGTTAAAGTTAGAAAACAATATACTTTTGTGATTTGATTATGTAAATTTTGTCAGTCTAAAATAGTTTGCAGTAATTCCTTTTATATATATATTTCATATTCTTTTCGACACTTTATATATATATTTATATATATATATATATATATGGAATAAACCTAATCATTTATGAAGTTTAACAATAATTAGAAAATATTCTCCAAAAGAATTTCCCAAGTGTGTTGCTAGATAGAAAGCGCATAATTGCCAAGATAACTTACATTCGAGCATGAGCCCAAGTCATTAAATAAAAATAAGAGCATATTTGTAAAAAAGTGCCGTAGAAGAAGGTGCACAAAAAACATGCACTTACATACTTTCCGAAAGGATGTAAACTGTACTTGTAGGCACTGTCATCTGTTCAGATTTCCTTTACTAACAATAGAGAGCATAACTTTTGATATTTAGATGTTTCTGCAGGAACAGGACTAAGGCAACCACATGCAGCAGATTGTGTGTGTAATGCACAGAAGACAGACAGCATTCCAGCAGTAAAAGTCTGCAGTGAGAGTCGCTTGATACCTGGAAGGTCTGGAGTGTCATCTTGTCATTAAAAATGGAAATCTGTGTATGCCACTGGCATCATGTCAGAAATGGCACCTGATATGCAGACTCTTTACCTTTAAAATGACTTTAGATTTTTAAACAAGCAGACAGTTCATTTCTATGCAATTTTCTAGGTAGCAATGTGGCTTTTTTATTTTATAATAAAATAGCCAATTTTTAGAACCAACTACTTCTAAACCCTATTCTAAAACAGATACATTCTAAATATGGAATGTTCAACAGATAGTGGACTTTAAAAATGACAATCTTCAAAATTCCCTATGTTTTATCATTGCATAGCTGAAAATTCATCTGCTTCTTATTAAAAAAGTACTCTGCTCATTCAAGAAGACTTTTGCTCCAATCTCCTTCAATTTCCTTCTTTCATACTGTACAGTGGATCCACAAGTTTATTGTGCACATGCATTAAACCTTAAAGAAAAAAAGCACAGTTCTAGTTGTTTTTGTTAATTTTAAACTATCTCATTTACTTTAGAAAATAAAAGTTTTTATAAAATAAGATACCATCTATTTGGTTACCATCTGATAAAAAAAATAGCCAAATTTATTGAAAAAGTACAAACAGAAATGTTTCAGATTTCTAGTTTTAACCACCTGGCAAACACCACCTTATCTTTATAAACCAGTGCAGATGGAGGCTATGTACAGAGGAGCAGCAGTTCTTCAGAGAGCTTCAGCATGAGACAAACTGGAGTACTGACTCAGTTAATACATTTTAATGCCCTCTAAAGTCTATGTGGATTTTGATCCTCTTGCAGTTCCTCTACTAGACTCCAATGAGGGGCTCAACACTATTAATGCACTCCAGCATATGACCCTATCCATTCATCTGGCAAATGATTTTCCATTATTTTGGAATATGTCTTTATGACTTGGGTTGATTATAAGCTTAGCCATTCCATATTGAGGGAGGTTTACTAAGAACAATACAGAAGATAACCTGCATTAAATAATAATTTAGAGCAGAAATTGAAATTTTAAGTAGATTTTAAATGCTGTAATTGGTACCTGTTACAGTAGAAATTGGTGTTTTAAATTTAAGTAGATTTTATGTATGCGTGTAGATCCTTCTTATCTATTAGACTTCCTACATGTTGCCAGAAGAAAAGTTAAATCTCACAGATTCTAAACAGCAATGTCTACACAAAGTTACTTAAGAGTGTGGCTTAATGTGAACTCATCCTACTTCTGTCACGTTATGGGGACAGGCCTCAACAGGCAAGAGGAAAACACATCCATCACGAGGTGTCATGAAATACACCAGAATCAAAGAGGTATTTAAAAAGTGAAACCAAAAAACTAGAATGAATAAAACAAATTCCCAACTATTACAATTGTTTTCTTGAAATTAACTTGTATTCTTTAGAAATTATATACCAAAATTAACTTCCATTTATAATACTTATAGTTAACCTAGATCTAAATACTCAGGAACTAAATAATTAGAACTCTTTTAAGATTTCCTGTTGGCACTTTTTAGTTATGACAGAAGACATGGTAGTGATAAGAGTAGAATTTGAAGAATTAGGGATAATCACAGGATTCATATTCTCCAAATACTATAAAATGAGGCCTATAGCCCTGAATAATATCTTAATTCCATTTTTTCTTCTATTGAAGGATGTGTCCTAACAGGTCCAAAGTGGAAAACACACATTCTCTTCCACCAGTGTGGCAGCCCTCCTATGGTCTATGCTTCAACATTTCCAGAAGAAATTCTAAAAGTTGAAACTACAACAACTAACGTTTACCTCCCTTCTAATTTAAATTATCTAAGACATCTATACCTTTTAGGGAAGCAATGATTATGGTATTAATGTGGAAATACGGTTTTGATTTAGACGATACCATTCTTCTGGGAGGCAGCATAACAGATTAGTCAAAAGCTCAGACCCCAGATGAGCCTGACACAGCTCTGTCCACATATGAGCTGTGTGACTTTGGGTAAGTGGTGTAATGTCTCTACCTGTTAAGCCTGTCAATTTATTTTAAAATGGGGAACATAAACAGTACCCACTTCATAACTCTGTTGTGAGAATTACAATGCATTCAGAATAATGGCTGATCATAGAGGTATTGGCCATTATTAAATATATTATTAAATATTTGCTAAAATGTAAAAATCTTATAAAAACCAAATGTAACAAATCAGATTGGTACAGGAGTTTTCCCAGGGATTACTATTACTAGAAAATGGCCATGTTAAATGAAACACTCAAAGCTGGCATTAAATTTGTAGATAATGAGGATTCTTCATATTAAGTTTAAGGAATACATTTTAGGATGAAATCTGAAGAACTACAAGGAAATAATGTGGGTGAAACTCCCACCGAGGGCGGGGCTGAGTGATTCTCACCCCATCACTCTGCTTCAGGCAGGTTGAAAGACGCTAACAATTTACAGTTTAATTTGATAACCTTTGTGCCTTGTTAAAAAACGAGTAAGTCAACTGATAAAAACAGAAATAGAAATATTATGTTAACCAATGAAGAAATGTTTAAATTGTATCTACTTATCTATCCACTAAAAATGGTTTTGAGCAATATTTAGTAAAATAGCAAAATGCTCACAAAACATTGAATACAAATACAAGACAAAACTACATACACGGTCTGACCAAATTTGTTTTAAACACACCTGACATTTTCCAATGCTTGCCAAATTTCCATCATTTGTGTAACCCTTGCAAGGTGTCTGCCACACTCACACGTTTACATGTCCTATGAGTTACTGTTTTCCTTTAAAAGGACTTAGCATGTTTTCCTATTGCCAAATACTGGTGCTGTAACTGTGAAACACTATTATTTTATGTACCAGTGAGGGAAAAAATGCTACCACATATGCTGTGGTGACACCAATACTTTCCAATTTCAGACAAGATCACTGTGTCTTAGAGGCATAAACCATGATAGCTTTTTTAAACCTTAAGCAATCGTACTCAAAAAACACAGCTTTTATATGTTTAGTGTAGTTTTTCCAATACATGTTAAAATAAAAACCTAGTTACTAATAAGAGCAAAAAGATTAGAACTGTGTGTCCATTCACGTAACAAAGGCAGGACACATGCTGAACAGTATGTCACTGACCCACCTGACCAGTTCATGTAATTTTAACATCAACTATGTAAATACAGGTGCTTAATTAAACATACCTACTTAGCTTGACTGTATGTGTGTCTCTATATGTAGCGCTGACTCTTAGACAGTGTTCCAAATTGAGTAGAGACAGATGTTCCTTGACAATCTCTTAAAACTTTTTTGCTCATTGTTATCAAGCATTTGATACACAGCCTGACTGAGGAAAAAACAATGCTACCAGGTGAGCTATGGTGACACCAATTTTAAGACACTCCAGTTTCAGTACAGGCAGGTTTGAGAACTGTTGAACTAGACTACAGAAAACAAGCAAAAGGAAAATCAAACTACAGAACCCTAGGCAACCAAACTCCTGCTTATTTGTAGAGTTTATTCCATGCTCTTGTAACATTTAGCCATTATAACTTCAACATACGGAAAGATTTGTTTAAGATATGAAGAGTAAGTGAGACAGTGAGAGACCTATACTCTCCGCCGATCAGGCTGGACACACAGGTGGGGAGAGGGGCGGGGGGGTTGGTAAACATGAGAAAACTAGAAAGGACATAGATGGTTCCTTTGAGTTATTTAATTTTACATCATATATTTAATATGAAAGAAAAATATTTTCTTAAACTTTGGATTTCAAGAAAAATTGTGTTTACTGAAAAGATAGATTGAAGAGATTCTCTTCATTAAAAAAAATAAATAAAAACACCCAACAAACTTCTCTGAAGGATACTATTATCTGCGTGAGAAGTTTCTATTCTTTGAAAGAACCAATTATTGGGTCCCACGATGCCTTTACTAGGCCACAGCCACAGTAAGGTTTTAACTCTCATCTACAACAGAACATCTCACAGTCTGGTTATAAATTCAATGCTCACCTTTGAAGTATTTCACAGTTTTAACTCTTAATTCTAAAGTAGCGTCTTCATCACATACAAAGATAGTCCGGGGATGCTGCTGGAACGCGGAGACCGTCCACATGTGATTGACCCCCTCTTCTATGGCTTTGTACAGGGCGAAGGCCTTGTGCGCCCCTGTGATGAGGATCATCACCTAGAAAGTCAGGTTCCATGTGAGTCAGAAGCTTTCCTTAAAAAACAGGACTGCATAACCAATGTTTTTCTGAAGAAAAGACAAGAATATACAGCTCCACATTTCTTCACAGTTCAAGGTTTTTTTTTAAGGTAACAAGAACAAAGTGCTGCTTCTGGTTTAACAAAGCAACACAGTGTGTGATGGGGTTTGAGTGAATATACTGTAACACCCACAATATCAACACAGTAAATAACGATTTATAAAGGAGATCTGGGAGAAGGAAGAAAACGAAACAAAAGGGCTACTATCTTGAAAAGCAAAATTGTAAGTCCTCAAACATTTAAATAATCGGAATTTTACAGCAAATTGCTGTAGTCCAGACAAACACAAAATCAGAAAGACCTTCAAACAACAGATACTTGGAAAGTCCTCTAGGGAAGCCTGAAAGTCACCTCACTAACGGAGTGCCGCCTGACTCAAGGACCAGGGATCTACTTAAGTCATTTCACGAGGGCGAGGGGTGTGCTACTGGCGCCGAAGGATCTATTTAAACAAAGAATCTGCCTTCAAGTATATACAACTGAGATTACCCTGATAAACTACAGAAAATCCAAGTTCTTCCCAAATCCCAAACTGCCTATAAAATAATTTCAATAACATGAGTGTGTCAGAATGAATCTTCTCGTTACCATCTTTCAACAGTAAGCCAATCCTACTTTACAACTCAAACTGTGCACATAAGTTTATGTAACAATCTTTAAACTTGATTATTTTAAATTATAATGGTTTAGAAAATGAATGTTAAAGTGGCTGTAGTTTTAAAGTACATTACATCAAAATTCTGAATTGCATATTTTATATATAAGTAGACCTTTCAGAATGGGGGAAATGAAAGCTTAATAGACCAGAATATTTCAACAGTTCCTTTTTATCATGACTCACTACTTGATTTTAATTTTGAAGCTGTATCTTGATTAAAATCAAAGAGCATGAATAAATTAAAATATGTATAAATTTCCCCTGACATTCTTATTCATACTTCTGAAGTACAGGGATCCAGGCTCTGCACGTTTAATATGATGTCATCTGTCATTAAACACATTTGTCTCTGAAGACAAAAACCCCTCTCAGTTTGATACACTAAGTAAATTATTATACTAATAAATGGATTTGTAAGTTACTTTTCCTTGCTGGACATTACTGGCCAAAACTCTTTTTCTTAAGACAGATACATGGATTACAGAAGGGATGAACACAACAAAAACCCCACACAATAGTCCTGGCTTGAGTCCTGGTCCTTAAACTCAGAATTTGGAATTAGGGCCCAGGAATCCAGCACCCTTATGTGATTATTATGCAGGCAATCTGGCAAAGTTCTTAAACCAGCACTTGAAGAGTTACTAGAAAACTACCGTAACATGTACTGTATTCAATGAAAGTATCTTTTGATTGACATATAAAGGATTTCAAAAACTTGTTTCTGGAAAGTTTTCTAATGTGACTTGGTGGTTCAAAAAGTAAACAATGAACCACGCACTCTCCCCGAAAACACCACCATGAGATACTACTGTTACTCATATTTTATAGTTAAGGAAACGGAGGCAGGGCTGTTCTCTAACTTGTCCAAGGTTTTGCTAAAGCCAGGATTCAAATAAGTCTGGTTCTGGGGTGCATGTCCTTAACAACTAACTACATTACACTGTCCCCTGAGAGACAGAAACACTGTTAAAAAGTGTAACAATTATACAATCGGAGCTAAGAGTTTTTCATTATTGAAGCAAACACTCTAAAAAGGTAGTAAGACAGGCGGCAACGAATCTCAACATAAAGCGTACACTGCGAAAAACAATGAGAAGTCAACCAAACTGGTCAGAAAGGACACACCTAGCATTTACACGGAGGGAGTGGAAGGAAAGGAGGCTGCTGGAAGCTCAGGGTGGGGCGAAGGATTGATTACTGGGGTTCACTGCTGGCCAACGTGTACAGACATTAATTAAATGTATTAGGGATATTAAGAAACACCTGGCAAAGCAGAAATTGGGAAAAAACAAATTGCTCTCGAAGGTATGGCCTTTAAGATGGGACTGGGTCCTAAGGGTTGTGCCCACACAGTTTAATGGATTAAAGGGTGAATGGATTAACTTCTTGGGAGTGGAACTGGTGGCTCAGTCCTGGCCTGGTGACACCCTGTGCTGCTTCAGGGCTCCACACACCATCCCTGCCAACAAGAAGGCTCTCACTAGACGTGTCCCTCAACCTCAGACTTCTCAGTCTAAAGAATCTTACAAAATAAATTCCTTTTCTTTATAATTACCCAGTTGCAGGCACTGGTTTATACACGCAGGGAGTAGACTGAAGTCATTTTACATTGTGACAAATGTCATAAAGGAAAAGCACAGCCATGTGAGAGAGGAAAAAATTTCACTCTGAGGATAATGGTTAAGAAAGGGAATTTTTAAACTTAAAAACTCAATGGTGCAGTGTTAGCAAAGCAAGGAGAGAAAACATAAAACATTCCAAATTTGTCCTCAACCTTAAGATCCCAAGGTAAGAACTGACTGGTAACTGAAGCCAGTAGTCCATGGGTTCTTTATCCCAGGTCTTGGGGAAACCTCTCAGATCCTCCAAGGTGTACACAGAAGGTCCTCACTACCCACATTTCCAGAGTGTGACGATATCTGATGAACTGACCACCTGAACATTTAGCTCCCCACTCAATCCCTCTTCCCATTTAGTGGAAGCACCTCCCCTACACAGGGATTCAAAGTGAAATGAAGTGTGTACGACGTCAATGGAAACACTGGAGACACTGCAAGTCCATTCACAACCACCAGCAACCTGTACAAACTACGCCCATTACAACTGAAGATAAGGAAACCAATAAATAACATTTGTTTCAAAAGAATGTTGTGAAATCAAAGCACTAAGCTACGTTCTTGAGAAAACAATGAAGCCCTAGAATAGTTTCACCATGATGGTTTTCTTTATAACCACTGGGAATGTGGGGGTGCATCATAATTTTACTGCAAAAATGGACCCAAGGGAAAAAGTCAATTTTTGAATAATTCTCTGTTCATTCTAAAAATGTTTAATCATTAAAACTTAAATCATGCTAAGCGTGAGAAATATATTTACATAACTTTTCAGCTTCATATTTTAGAAGTAAGATTGCTCTAAAATGTTTTTTTCAAATTATTTACTATAAATTTCAGTCCTTGAAAGGTCTTCTTTTCATATACCTATGACTTCTAGATAATGAGAAACTCCTGTATTTTGAATGACAATTCTATTTGTATGCTCACGTATAGGTATAATTTTATCAAGATCAGTTATCTATTTATCATATCCTGCCTGTACTTTTTCCTCTGAACTTGTCCAATCCTGCTACCAACAAAGTTCTGGGTTCCGTATAATTTCACTACTTACAGTCATGAACTATGATTTGTTCTGTTTTTCTCAAGGAAGAAAATGACAGTCCAATCAGAAACTTAAAAATCAGGCACAGTGTACTGTTCGGAGCTCTTCCACACTAAACGCTGAACGTGGAAAAGATCCAGACCGAGCCGGGCTCCTTCTGCTGGGACTAACTGGGCTACCCTGCACATTTCAGGAAACACTTCACACTGAATCATCTCGAGGGCTTCAAAAGCAGAGTACTGTATGTAATGAGCATTGCGTTTTCCCCGACAGTCCTTCCACGCAACTATTTCAATTAAAAACAAACCATATAATCAGTAAGATATTAGGACCTCAAACGGAAGCAGGAATAAGCCAGGTGAAGCAGTACCTGAAAGTGATACTAATTCTTAGTTTACAACTCCAAAAGCCTTCATTTAGTTAATTTCTAAATATGTCAATGAGAATGACAAAATGTAGTTACTAAAACTAGGAAAAAATTTACAATGGAAGCAGAATGCAGCCGAAGGATCCCTTACTCAGGATCTTCATCCCTCAGGAATCTGTCAGCATCGAGAAGCAAGCATCAAAGAGCTTTGAATTCTTACCTCTCTAGCGTCCATCACTGTCCCCACACCAACAGTCAGAGCCATGGTTGGCACTTTTGATAAATCTCCATCAAAATATTTAGCATTTGCCAAAATGGTGTCCATTGCTAGAGTCTTCAATCTTGTCCTCGACACTAAACTGGATCCAGGCTCGTTGAAAGCGATGTGACCGTCTGGACCAATTCCTTTCAAAAGAAACATACAGTGAAGAAGGGTCTCTAAGTTAAACATGGTTTTAAGAGTAAACACACTTACCTTGTTTTATTTTATAGTTGAATTCCTAATACTGCACTGAAATATTTCTGTATTGATTAAAAAAGTACCTCCATGTTTTCTACATGCTTTAGCAGTGAGCTGACCTGGGTCTGATAACAGTCAAGTCCCGCCTTGTGTTAGTGTAACACTCCGCAGTTTATGCCCTTTTACCTGCATCACCACAACAGACGTTCAGCAACTTGTGAAAGGGTCAACTAGGCATAGCTAATTCCCTCATCTCCCACCATTCTTCAAACACTAAAGGAAACGCTGATGCTCAAGCAACCTGTTCAAGGTCGCAATGTAGTAAACACTGAGAAAGAAATCTAAGTGTTTTTTTTTTTTAGAAACCAAGCACTCTAAGTGTGCTGATTCCTAACTCCAGATCTTTCTAGTCTTGTCACACTTCAATTTGCTTGGTTCTAGTCCAGATGGGGCAATTATTGGTGAACTTCTCTGTAGTAGAGTTCCTTCACTTATAAAAATGCACTAAACAAGATAACACCCAGATCAGGAGTATTCTAACTTTTGGAACTGAATGGAAGAAGTATTTGATATACTATATACTACCCAGTATACACACACATGTCACACACATAAATGTAATAAAACAAGAACTGCATGAAACCATACTTACTCTGACGAGGGGCCATACAAGCTATTTTCTATCCGTTCCATTTCATTAATAAAACGAAAAGAAAATGTGGATATGACTGACTATATTGATTTCGTAACATAGGTGACAACCATGTTAAAAAACGCTGCTTTAAAGAGATATATTATTAGCTCTGACGTTTCTAGGACTGCTTGTAAAATATAGCCAAGAATATGGCGGTCTTTATCTGAAGGAATGAAAAGGTAATTTTTTTCATTTAATTAAGACCTTTCTATGACGTAAATAAAACAAGCTTGTACACAGGGACCCTAGTAGCAGGTCACATTTCTGACAACCTCAATCAAAAATAAAGCCCCAAGTTCCCTGGAGTAATGACCATTAAAGTACCATCAGCATCTATACTCTGCCTGTTTAAGGATGAGATTATTTGCGTCTTACTGACACCATCCCATTCCAGTAAAGTTTCCCAGGCTACCCTGAGGTCAAAGCTGGCAGAGGGTAGCCTCGTCTTGGAAGGACGGAGGAAGAAATGAACCCTGGGAAGCAGGTACAGACACCAAAGGACAACTGTCCAGGGACGGTGACATGGAGACAGAAAGCCAGACCCACATGCAGGTAATTATACATTGTTTCTTCCTACTACTAAGAATATGTCTGCTCATAAATGTGTTTTAATTACAGATATTCATTTCTCTGCATATGTAAAAACTCTTCTATTCCTCCTCTTAAGTATACATACGCCTAAACATTTATATTTATACAGTAGAACCTCTGTAAGTTGACCACTCAAGAGACTGTAACAAACTAGTCAACATACAGAGGCGGTCAGCATAAGGACCTTGGCCGACGATAGTCACACATGCATACGGTGCATGTCCAGTCTATGAAAATTAGGTCACTTAAGAGGTGGTCAACTATGGAGGTTCGACCGTAAAGGAGAAAAGGATGGGACCAGGGAAAGAAAACCTCTGTAAAAATAGAAAGTCCACTACAATGGACACTAGTGAGCTCACTAGGGACTGGGCACAGATAAGGGCACAGCTAAGCTGAAACTCTGAGTAAGGCCCATCAATGAACAATGGCAACATATTCACTTCATGGCCACCAAGAACTCAAAAATTGAGGTTTGGAATATAAAATGATTTAGTTAAATGTGACTAATTTTTATTTAGCTTTTAAGTCTAAATTAAGATGATAGCATCTCTAAGAAATATGTCAGAAATTACTCCATGTCTGGCGTAAATGTCTTTCCTCTGTTCCTACAGTTCCGAGGGGCGGAATGTACCAGTGCTCTTCATGTACGGTCTTTATCTTCATTATTAATCCCTACCATTCATGTATGAGGGGC